ATATATATAAAAGAGAAAAAAAAGACTTTTAATTAAAATTCAAGCTAAATAATTACTTCTATTGTGCATTATTTAATAAATACTAATTAAAAATGATGGATGAATTTGATCAGCCTCAGCAGTTACCTTCTCTCGATTCATTCCGGTGATCAAAAGACGATTTGACTATGGAGCAACGATCTTCATCCTGACGTTCAGTCTGGTCGCTGTGTCGGGTTACCGAGTCGACCAACTCGTCAGTTTGGCTCAGCAGCGACTCAGCACAATTGCTATAGGCATCTCTATTTGTCTCATGGTCTGTATGCTGATATGTCCGGTCTGGGCCGGGTCCGATCTGAACGTACTCATTATTCGTAATATGGACAAACTTGCAGATTCATTAGAAGGTATATATTTATTAACTAAGTAATCATTAAATGCTAATTAATTAATAGTTAAGATGAGTAAAAAAGCTAGCTTAATATATATAATTAACTTGCGAATGTGGTTCATCAGGTTGCGTAGAGGAGTATTTTAACTTGCAGATTCATTAGAAGGTATATATTTATTAATTAAGCAATCATTAAATGCTAATTAATTAATATTTAAGATGAGTTCAAAAGCTAGCTTAATGTATATAATTAACTTGCGAGTGTGGTTCATCAGGTTGCGTAGAGGAGTATTTCAGCGGGAAGGAAGCTCCCAAAGCACGTGGCTTTAAATGTGTTCTTAACTCCAAATTATCGGAGGATTCTTTGGTAAGTAAGCAATTTCAATTAATTAATTAGTACTTAAAAAACATTTTAATTAAAATTTCTAGGTTAGTATATGTGGTATTAATAAGAATAGTTAAGAAAAATTACATGCATACCACTCAAATCTTTATATATTTACGGGGCAACACCTGAATTTTAATTCTTACATGTATATTTTATATTTAACCTTTTAAAAGTCAAGATAAATAATTAAAAAAAAAAAGCAAAATTTAGGTATTAGATATGTAAATATAAAGGAATCAGGTGGTATGCATGTAAATGCCCCCAATAACTATTGTCTTAAAAAAAACAACAAAAAAAAAAGAAGAAAAATGATCAAAATTTGAATAAAATAAGTCTTAATTAAAATTATACATATATGTTTAATTAGTTGGCATATGTAACAAATTTTTATACATGTATAAATAGGCAAATCTGGCAGCATGGGAGCCAGCTCATGGCCCATTTGGCTTCCGGCATCCATGGAGCCAATACCTGAAAGTAGGTGCAGCGATGAGGTCCTGTGCTTACTGCATCGAAGCCCTCCATTGCTCTTCTCACTCTGAGATCCAGGTAATTAAAAAATTAATTAATTAATTAATTAATTCACAGTTATTTAAAATTCAAATTAAATACATATTAATGGTACGTAGGCTTCTGAGTTAATGAAGAGACATCTCAGTGAAGTTTGTATGAAGCTGAGCTCAAAATCAGCACAAGTTTTGAAAGAACTATCAGTCTGTATCGAAAACATGCGCAGCTCGGAAAGCTTAAGCCATATGGTTAAGGAGATGAAGGAAGCAGTGGAAGAGGTGAAGACCGCCATGAAATCTCTCCCGACCACATATAATAATGAGTTAGGGTTGCAGAAAGATGATGACAGTATGATGATGAAGAAGAGACAGTCTTTCATGGAATCTCTGCCATTGATGACTGTCGTTTCTCTTCTGATGGAGATTTCGGTTAAGGTTGAAGGGGTGGAGGAGGAAGTCCAGAAGCTGTCCGGCCTTGCTGAATTTAAGCCTTCGGGCGATAAATTTTAATTAGGTGAGATAATTCCAAGATATGTGGAGGATGGTATATATGAGTATGTGTGTTTATAAGTATATAGTTGTGTCGATAGTCATCATAAAAGTTGATATATATAACACCCTAGATCATCAACATGTACATTAATGTGCATGCATTGTAGGAACAATAGTTTATGTTTGGGACCTACTTTGGGACCTATCCCAAACTATTTTTGCATCCTTTTTTGGGAGAAAATATTACGTGTGTCGTCCGGATGTTCAGTGTTCCATATGTAATATTTTTTACCTTTTTTGGGTGGCTCTACGTATGTATTTAGTTTGTGATGAATCAATTAAAGAATAAAATGGTCTGATAAGGTCTGATAATTAAACTTCTATGATGGATTAAATTGATACATATATTTCATTTCTCATTCTTGTTAATTTTTTGTCTTTGGCATTGCCATGCTGCAAATCGACACACTCCTTCCTTGCTTTTTTCTTTTCTTCCGGCAATATGTGCATTGAAACTGACGCTTATGAATTTTTCACTTTGTGTGTTTGTTTCACCTAGTTCCTATGGTTAACATATATATCATCTAAATTTTACTATTTTACAATTATACCCTAAATGTATTCGTGAATGGGTTGGCGTAGCTCGAGTGGCAAACAAGATTAGAAGAGTGGTCTAAGATAGTTTGGTTACATTAAACATCCACCATATGATAATTGACTTAGTTGTAGAACTTTGATCCTTGATGAGAAACTTCTGAGTCACCCAACAGTATCAAAATTGCTTCAATTTGTGTCAAATCAAGCAGTTCAAGTTGTTAAAACACTTTCAAAAGTTTTGGGGCATAATTGAAAAGCTAACAAATTCCAAATTCGAAAAGCTTACAGTTAAATTGAGTGTATCGACTAGATAAATCCAGCGAGCCTAAGATAACACAATTATGACAACATTAAGGCACTCAAATGTTCACCAAATGTCATCTGATCGAGAGAATCTCTCCGAGTCATCTATACAGTTAAATTGAGTGTATCGACTAGATAAATCCAACGAGCCTAAGATAACACAATTATGACAACATTAAGACACTCAAATGTTCACCAAATGTCATCTGATCAAGAGTATATCTCCGAGTCATCTGATGTAGTGGTTTGAATTCCTTCTTTATTTGCAGCAAAACCTCTCATAGACTCTATAAATAGAGGCCTACCCCTACCTTGAGAGAGGAGGAAGTCCAAGAGCTTGAAAGAGACTGGAGCTTAGAGAAATTGTTGAAGCTCAACATCATTTATGCATAAAAGATCCGACGGATTCCTCCTACTCCTACAGCCACAGATTAACACTTACATATTGCCGCCGACCACCGTCAACTGCCACCTACGGGGGACCGTCGACTACCATCATCAGCCAGCTGCTCCATAGAACGAAGTCTCTTGTAGATTCATAATATTCATTATGGGACCACAGCATACGCTCCATAAAAGTGAAGCACACGACGAAGTAATACGTCATTCAATACATTGTGTAACAACACACCTCATATACAGTGAGATGAACTTTTCTTAAGATGATGCAACAACACACTCTAAATACAATGCAACAAAACACTCTAAAACATTTTAACAATGCACTATACATATGGTGCATTGACACCTACCGAACATGGTGTAATAATGCACCCGAAGAGGGTGATTTTCTCTTGAATCATAAAGCTCTCTTCTTGCAACTCCTAAGTCCAACATCCGGGGCTTATGGACAACATCATGGATCACCACTATGGTTTACTTGACCAATGACCTACGTGATCCACAAATAGTATAGCTCTCGACTCCAGTCTTTGCGACTTACGGACATCATCATAGCTCACAACTATGACCTCAACGGCTTACAACTCGTGTAGCTCCTGACTCCAGTCCCTTCCATCTACAAATATCAATGTAGCTCACAACTATGACATACATGATCAACAACTTTTATAGCTCTAGACACTGGCCTCTACGGCTTACATACGTCATCACAGCTCACCATTACTGCCCACATGACCAACTACAATCGATGCGATCCACGTCTCATGTAGCTCTCTATTCCGACCTCTACAACCTACAGACCTCATTGTAGCACACCACTATACGAACTATGTGATACCAAAATTGTGTAGCTCCAAACACCAGCCCATGTGACCTACAGTCATCATCAGAACTCCTTACTCCGGCTTCTATGGCCTAAAACATCATCATAACTCACTAATACAACCTATGCGGTTCACATCTTGTAAATTTTTTTACATTGTCATCTATGGACAATGGGCCACATTACATCTCTTCACCACGGTTTATATGACCAACTACACCCTTCATGACTCATAGTTCGTTCAGTAAAACATCATCATAACTCACTAATACAACCTATGCGGTTCACATCTTGTAAAGTTTTTTACATTGTCATCTATGGACAATGGGCCGCATCACATCTCTTCACTACGGTTTATATGACCAACTACACCCTTCATGGCTCATAGTTCGTTCAGCTCCCTACTCTAGCCACTGTGACCTACGAACATCATCTCAGTTCACCACTACGGGCTATATGACAAACTACAACCTACTTGTTCCACAACTCATTAGATCCTGATTATGGTTTCTACAGTTTACGAACGTCATCATAACTCGCCACTATGAACTATGTAATCAACTAAAACCTACGTGGCTCACAGATCCTGTAGCTTCATGTATGGCCTCTATCGCCAAACGACTCTCTTGATGCAACTGCCTCTGCGCACATAGTCAACTACTATCATAGCTTTCAGTCACAACCTACACAACAAACTAGTGATACAACTATTGTCTACAGCATTCACGACAAACTTCGACCTTCATAGCAATCGACTAAGTCTCTTGTAGTATGTCATCACCAAAAATTATATTCATTACAACAAAATTACGATTATTATTGATAAATTACTGTTATACATTTATAATGATTAACTTTGTAAACTTCATCCTCCAAATTCACAAGAAGAGTTGATTAGTCAACTCATCATTCAATAGTGAATTGTTTTAACTGGGCCAAACTCCATGGTTTTCGGTTTCCAAAACTTAATCATGTAAAAAATCGAGGTGTATCTTCCTACTGTTATTATCTTAGTGTGTTTTCGAGTTTCGTGTAACACAAAGACGCTAACTCATCCCTCTATCTCCACGGACCTTTCAACACACATCGATCATGGACTATTATCTCTTTGAGAACCGACTTTTTATGTATGCCTGTGCGTGTCTCTCTCTCTCTCTCTCTCTCTCTCTCTCTCTCTCTCTCTATATATACCAAGGCCACTTAAAGAGATTTAGTGCTTTTTTGTTTGCTACTTTTTTTTTTCTTTCATTTGTAACTTTTTTGGAAACTTTTGAGGATTGGGCTCCCTCCCTTTGTCTGGGAACCCCTCCTTTAGTAACCTTGTAACACTTTTGATATTTAACATGTAGGGAGCCGTATAATGCTCCTTTTAAATATATATATATATATATATATATATAGGGAAAAAGAGCAACTCATGACTTCTTACGCGTTAATAGAAAAAAAAGGTGGTTATAAATTTGGAAGAAAGAAGATTCCCGCAACAAAAAAAGAAAAAAATTACAGCGATTACAACAGTTCATAGGGGTTCTTCCTTCCACATTACAACTTCACCCAAAAAAAGGAAACAAAAAAATAAATGATAGATATAGTAGCTCAAAATTACATGTATTCAATCAAAATGTATACCCAAATAGTGTAGTATACCAATGTGAACATGTATAAAGGAGAGATTAAGTAAAACGGTTTTCGAGCCTGAGAAAAGACATCCAAAAGGCTGGGAAAGGCTTGAAAAAGCAGTTCCAAGAGGATTCCAAACATGCAGCTCAGAAACAAAGAAAACACCAAAGAAATAAAAGAGGATGTAAGTGGTCTAAGTGCAAGAAACCGATGAGAGAGCCCCGCAACATAAAGCCTCCAGTCCAGACCAAAGCAAAGGAAAAACCACTGCCGTTTGAGCACACAACTCTCCAATGAAATTACCAAATCCATTCATAGAAAACAGAAAGGACAGACGCAAATAGGAGAGATCCCCCAAACCAAAGGGAGCAACACTGTTATATATATATATATATATATATATATGCATGTATTTGTATGTATGTATATGGATGTATATATACAAGTTTCTGGATGCCTACATGCTCTTTAGACATTTAGTTGTGTTGAGAAAAGAGAGCAACACTGTTATATTAATAGAGAATGCTTTCTTAGAGTTAATTTTGGTGTTATTAATGATAATGATGGTTTTTTATTTTTTTTAGTTTTGCTACTGGCACCACTTGGCTAGGGGGCAAGTGTATCTCATAAGGCTTTTAAAAGAGGCCTCATGCTCCGGAAATAGTGGCATAGCACTGTCATTATTATATCAAACTTTTCATCACGTTTATTGCTTCTTTTTTTTATTTTATTTTATTTGCAAATATGAATATTTCCATTGTGTTTAGAGGCATTTACATACATACCACCTAATTCTTATGTATTTTACATGTCTAACACCAAAACATTGCTTTTTTACATACTATATAAAAAAAATATCAATGTTTTAACTTATAAAAGTTAAATACACCTTCTTATGCAAGAGTACGGTGGTGGTATGCAGGTAAAATTGAAGTATAGGGAATTGAGCGGTATATATATATATATATATATATATATATATATATATATAAGAGATTACGGGGTGACGCGTGGAAAATT